ACATGGCGAGATGCCATGATGCGCGTGCAAAGGAAGGCCTCAAGCCTGCCTATTGCGTGCTCCAAGCTGCTTCCATGCAGCAAAGATGGTGGGAGGAGCCAATGGAGCCTGACGGGGCCAAATGGGTGGAGGGTGGTGACTCGAGAGTGGCGTGCGCTTGCAAAGTGTAAAGTACCGGTACTGCGTAGCACTGGTACCAAGTCCAGGTTCGTTGCCAGGTCATGGCTGTCCGCTCGCTCCTTCCTCCACCGCCGCAAAGGGGACGTCTGGATCTGTGCTGGAGCCAGCGAAGCTCTAGAATGGTCGACTCTCCTCTTCGCTTGCATTATCTCCATGGACCACGGCGTGTGCCAAGTGACACGAGATAAAAAAGATTCCATCTCCCGCTCCCTTCACGATGCTGTCGTGTGTCGTTAGAGTCCTGCCACTTTCTCCTCTCCCCTTGCCAGAGACCAACACGAGGCTCATTGTGCCTTTTCTCCTGTTGCGTTTTCGTCTGTTTGTCCTGTCAAAATATCAACGCCTTGTTTCTTCTTTTTGCACTGTCTTGGTTTATTCCTTGTGTCACGCCACTCACGACTTATACCACCACCACCTTCCACCCGCCACCTTGGTCAAAAGCCAGCTTAATTCTGCCACACATACACACACGCTTTAATTCTCAACCAATAATTTTCATTAAAACCCTGCTATTGCATCATTCTCGGAAACCAATTTCAGCCGCGGTTATTATCGATTTGGCTGATCTTCGTCCGCTCCAATCGGCAATATTTCCAAGCAAAATACTTGCTTACAAACCAATATATAAACGACAAGCCAAAGGGCGTCATCCAAGACTCTGCGTCTTGGTACATTTCAGGAGACGTCCTAGGCCGACAGTGTTAAAAAGACGTTCACATTTGGCTAATTCTACGTTGTTACTTTCACACTCGCAAGCAGAGTCCTGCAATAAGCCAAGGCAAGCTACAAGAGATTCCGCCATTTTACAAAGACAACATCAACATTTCCCACACAATGGTTGTAGGAACTGGAGCTGCAGCTCTAGCAGGAGCTCGTACGACCAAAAATGTTGTCAACCAGAAGCCCAACATTCAAATCAAGATTGAGAAACACTTTAATTCCAAGGTCTACACATCGGGGTCTACCATCTCCGGCCAAGCGCTTGTCAAAACTCAGAAGGACACTCGATTCGATGATTTTGACATCATTTTCTCTGGTATTGCTGCCACCCGTCTGGATTTTGTTCAGCAGTATCCTTCGCACTCGTTCCGACCTTTCATGAAGCTTCGAATGCCCATCGACAGATCCACTCTGCCAGAGAGTCACGTTTTTGAAGCTGGAAAGACGTACACGATCCCCTTCAACTTTGTTGTTCCTCACCATCTCACCATTGGAGCTTGCAACCACTACTGCTCTTCACCGGCCGTGCAAGAGCAGCATTTGCGTTTGCCACCTACTGTTGGTTTCTGGGAACGCGACGATCAAGCCCCAGACATGGTCCAGATTGAATACTCAATCAAGGCCAGAGCTTATCGCAGAGCATCTGAAGCAGGAGGAATCCCCCAAAAGATTATGGACGGGTACCACATCCTCAAGGTACTTCCAGCTCTTCCCGAAGATGCGCCCCTCGACATTACCTTCAGAGATGAGCGATACAGCCTGTCCAAAACCAAGACCATTCGCAAAAACCTCTTCTCTGTCAAGGCCGGAAAACTTACCGTCTCCGCGGCTCAGCCAAGCGCTATAATGCTATCCGCAGACGGACGTCATGCATTGGGCTCCGTTGCTCGGATCAGCCTGGAGTTTGCGCCTACCTCGACCGAGAGTGTGCCTCCCAAAATCAACTCTATTTCTGGCAAGATTGTCTCTTCGACATTTTTCGGTGCAGCTCCCTCTGACCTTCTCCCTAATTTGGGAAGTCGAGCCACCTACACCGCCAATCCATCTCTCAGCTACACCGTGTCGAACAACATCTTCAACAACAAGCCTGTGGAGAAAGTAGCCTGGCAGGTGCACAATGTATCTGGACGCCGGGACTCTGGATACTCTAGTTTGGGTAATGCTGATGAGGAACAGTCAGAGATGGAATGCTCTGATGACGCCTCGAAGACGAGCAAGAAATGTCCAATTCGACACAACGCCGTCGTTGACATCCCATTCAGCATTCCCATGACCAAGAAGCTTTTCTTGCCCACATTCCACTCGTGCCTAATCTCTCGCACGTACACCTTGCACCTCAACCTGTCTGTTGGCGCAACTAACACGACCACGTCGCTGGCGATCCCGCTGCAGATTGGTGTTGAGACCATTTACGAGCCCCAGAACGCCGGCCTACCAAGTTTCGAGAGCGTAATGGCCGAAAATGAACAGGCCGCCGTGGGTGGTCAACTCCATGTGCATAACGCGCAGTTTCCCGAGCTGATGGAGCACACGAACAGCATGCTTCCGGGGTACGACGAAGTCAGCCGTCGAGCAGTTCGGGTTGCGTGACCATTGATCACATTTTCGACACTATATTAATACTTTCTCTGCTCATGATGTTTTTTCTTGAGTGTTTCTTGTCTCTTTTTCGGAGTCCATTTGGATAGACTGTTGAATTCCGCTGTTACATGTACAACCCTGTCTTTAACATTCACCAACCCGCTTTCTTCTCCTTTTGGCGTGTTTACTTTTACTTGATGGCATGGTCTTTAGACAGCTTGTTTTAGGAAATTTTGGAAAGACAAAAGCATAATGAGTTGTTTTTTTTTATTACGGAGTTTAGCATTCTGACTAGAGATTGGGGAAACACATAGAGATTCATTCGAGTTTGGGGATTGTCGCATTTGTTACTATTGACGTTGTGGTGAGCAAACGTGACATGGAATGCATGGGTTTGTTTGGGAAAATCGGGACATCATGATGAATGATTGCGCGTGTTGCTTTTTCTACATGACGACGACGACGACGACGACAATACAGTCGCGAGATGAGCCTTACAAATGGCGGAAATAATTAATATAATGACTTGAAATCTATGCCTTTGCCCTGCCCGGATCCAGCCAACCCGGACTACCAAGTACGACCCGTATAACAATGATGAGAATAATGAAATGCATGCGCCAGAGAAGTGAATATCGATGATATCATTTTACAATTATAAAACAAAAAAAGTGAATAATTAAACAACAGCAGCATTTCTCCAAGACATATCGACCGCCAGCCTCCTCAAGTGTGGCATGGAGAATCCGGCATTTTGTAGAGTGTGTTGGGACGCCAAGGGTGGTTGGAGTTTGAGTTTGATATTGATTTGAGACGATAACGAAACGTGGGTAGCTATCAATGACTACATTTGGATATTAAGGCTTCACCGCAATAGAGGCAACACGACAGAGCAGGCCAGACAGTCGGGCGGTCGTGCTCGATATGCTTAATTTAATAACGATGTGACATGATTGCTACTAGAACTAGTACTACTCCGTGTTGTTTAGTAAAGGCGAACGAATGGCACGGAGTAGTATGGGGTACTAATGAGAAAAAAGTGACAAAAATAACGTTTCCCCATGCCGTTTTACAATACGACTGGGACCGGCGGGGGCCAATGGGCATCCAGCTCAAATTTGAATTCTCTGGCCAAGCAAGGCAGTGCTTGTAGCCTTGAAAATACAGGAAGGTTCTTGCAAGAAGAAAGTGGTCCTGATTGGCAGCAGCATTGTACATGTATGTACTCCGTATGCTGGGGGGGCGGCTCCACTTGCTTGCGATGGAAGGAGCGGCATGACAGATGGCTGTTTTCGAACCCGGAAGCGGGAGGTGGCATTAAGGGAGACATGAAGGTGAGGGTGAAGACGAGGCTCGAGGCACAGGCAGGCGCGCTGCAGATGGCGACTGACGATGCTTCGCTGCCCTGGCTGCCCTAGCACCTACCTCATATATGCAGGTTTGAACAGGTCACCACGCGGGACAAAGGGAAGAAGGGAGTAGTTGAGCCAGCAAGATATCATGGAGTCAATGTGTGACTGACTGACGGTAATTGAGCCCCGCTGCAGCCAGACATGGACAGCTCAACTGCCTCGAACTGCATGCATATCGCGCCACACAGAGGCCCGCCGATCCCACTCGCTCGCCTGATTTTGCTACAGGCAACGTGCTTCCACGCGTTGAACATGATGAATTCCCAATTCCCAATTCCCCCGTGTATCACCAAGTGCATACATATGTGCGCACAATATCCTGATTTGATGATTGTATGCCATGTATGTACATGCCCGTGCGTCAGTCAGGCAGTAAGGTGCCCGCTCTCCCCAATTGCCCCCTTTAGCGTGGCTCCACACCCCGGCCTGCAGGCCAAGGCGTTCTTATCTCTGCAAGGTTTCCCGCTCGCTGCGCCGGATGGGACTCGAGCATCAGCTTGTCGGCATTGACTTTGGAACAGCCACCTCATTGTGCATCTTTTTCCTGCCTCGTTTCATATCATTCTCGGTCGATTTGCAACTGCTGGGCACCAAGGAGCCAGCATTCGCATCGCATACCCCGTATCGACTGCTGCGACGGCCGACGTCGAGTCTTCTCCAAAGCCGGACCCCTGCTTGTCCACTTTGTCATCTCCCTAGGAGTTCGCAGTGAACCCAACGTTAAATCCATTCCGATCGCTTGGCATCTGCCCTCGTTTTGTCTCTCCCAACTCGCGTAACCTGGCGCTCGCACAGGTCCATCGCGATTAAGCTTAGATTTACGGTACTCGGTGCCGATTTCACTCGTTTTTCTGTTTTTCTACAGCCATTCGCCGCCAGGACACCAGCGAGCACGGAAGCTCGCTGCCTCGATTTCACCATTGATCGTACATGAGCATTCATTGTGGCGTTGCCGTTGGATTCGGATTGCCCATTGCCCATTGTTCGATCCCGCCGTCCCGACTCCCACAGTCGTCATAATCTTGCTGAATCCGTGGCTTCATTACTGGTAGGCCGCGGGGAATACAAGGGCGAGACTGTATTGGATGCAGAGCACACAAATCCACAATGTTCTGGATATCAAGATATATTGGCCTCGGCACCTTGCTTAACTTGGCATTGCTTTGCCACGTAAATGCATTTTATATTCCTGGTAAGCTTCCACCTTGGTGGCCGCTTGTCTACCATCTCGCTAACTGGAAGAAAACAGGCTGGTCAATCAAGAGCTACAAGGAAGAGCAGCAGATCCCACTTATGGTCAACAAAGTCTACTCCGACAATACCCAACTTCAGTATGCCTATTACGATCTGCCTTTCGTCTGCCCGCCGACCGGGAAGCACAAGTCTGCTGCGGGCCTTCTCAGCGGACAGAGCATCCCACTTAATCTAGGCGAGGTACTTCGTGGAGATCGCATCATGGCCTCCGACATGGAAATCGCCATGAAAAAGGACACGTCGTGCAACGTCCTCTGCACCAGGGAAATTTCGCGAAGCGATCTCAGACGCGCCAAAGAACTGGTCCACGATGGCTACGTCACTGAATGGATTGTTGATAACCTGCCTGGAGCTACAAGTTTTGTTACGGTGGATAAGACCAAAAAGTACTACGCCGCCGGATTCAAGCTTGGATACACGGAATTTTCGCCGAGCACAGGCAAGGCGCGCTACTACCTGCATAACCACCACACTATTGTCATACGCTACCGCCAAGCTGCTGGACGAGCTGGTGCCCGAGGCGAAAAGATTATCGTCGGATTTGAAGTCTATCCCAAGAGTATTGGCAACGGGAACAGGCGAGACACCAAAGGATGCCCTGTCGATTTGCAAAACATCGACCAGCCTTTTGAGCTCTACATGGCCCCCAACAAGACACTCGATGCAGCTGCGCCCATATATACCGATTCATCATACCAGCCTGCTGCTACCGAAGTTGACGATGACAGCGCTGGTGGTACAATCAGCATTCCCTACACCTATTCGGTCTATTTCCGAGAAGATGATACTATCGAATGGTCTCACCGTTGGGATCTGTATTTTGTAAACCAGGAAGAGGGCTCGCGTATTCATTGGCTTGCTATTGTCAACTCCCTCATTATTTGTGGCTTGCTGACGGGCATTGTCATGATAATCCTGGCCAAGACGATTCGCACCGATATTCAAGGATATAAGGATGCCAAGGCCGAAGATGGAAAACTTCGGTCAAAGCGCAAGAGCCGATCCGGCAACAGAACGCCAAAGGAGAAGCCTAGTTTGCTTGATCAGGGTGACGATGCCGAAAATGATGCAGACATCTCATCCGACGACGAGGCTCTCGAGGAAGTGACTGGGTGGAAGCTTCTGCACGCCGACGTGTTTAGAACTCCACGGTCCGGCAATCTTTTGGCACCGCTTGTGGGCTCTGGTATGCAACTCATGTTCATGGCCATGGGTTTAGTCCTATTGAGCGCAATCGGCGTATTGAACCCCAGCTTCCGTGGCGGCTTCGTCAGTGTGGGTGTCGGCCTGTTCATTTTTGCAGGCCTCTTTTCTGGCTACTTTTCCGCTCGCGTGTTCAAGAGCTTCGACGGCAGGGACTACAGAGCAAACGCATTGGTCACGGCCTTCTTGTTCCCCGGCCTTGCCTTTGCGCTTGTGTTCGTCCTCAACCTGTTTGTGTGGGCACAGGCATCCAGCACGGCTATCCCCTTTGGAACCTTGATTGCCATTGTATTCTTGTGGCTGTGTGTCCAGGTCCCTCTGGTGTTGGCAGGGTCGTACTACGGCTATCTCAAGGCGGGCGCATGGGCGCATCCTACCAGAACGACAGCCATTCCTCGCCAAGTGCCGCGGCAGGCTTGGTACATCAAGTCTCTGCAGTCGATACTGCTGGCTGGGCTTATCCCGTTTGCCGTCATCTTTATTGAGCTTTTGTTTGTCTTCCAGTCTTTGTGGCAAGACAAGAGCGGGTACTATTACGTATTCGGATTCCTGGCGGTTGTTTCCATGATCCTGGTGGTGACTATTGCCGAAGTGACTATTGTCACGATTTACATCCAGCTATGCTCCGAAAACTACCATTGGTGGTGGCAGTCATTCTTTGTGGGCGGCGGCAGCGCGTTGTGGGTGTTTGCCTACAGCATTTGGTATTACTTTTTCAAGCTGCACATTACGGGGCTTGTAAGCAGTCTCCTCTTCTTCAGCTACAGCTTTATGGCCTGCTGTGTGTATGGACTTTTGACCGGAACTATTGGATTCCTAAGCGCCTATGCATTTGTCCGGAGAATATATAGGTAAGTTGGGTTTGGAGTGGTGCCTGGGATGGCGAGATGCTAACGCTTTTGTCTAGTGCAATTAAAGTTGATTAGAGATGTGAGAATTTTGACAACACAGGTCCATTGTCCAGCTTTTTTTTTAATATTTCTTGTTCTATTTTGGGTCGCTCCTTCATATTGACATGTCGAATGGATTGGTTTCTTTTTGGGTATACTTGAAGGTCGAGGCTTAAACAGCCCCGATTAGGCGTCTGGGCCTAGCATACGTGTTTGGGATCAAAGACTGGCGTTTTGTACATTCACTCCCTCTAGAAGAGCATTTTGCGGTGACGAGAGGCCGGGTATTTGAGGATTGGGGTAATGGGCAAGTCAACGGGTCACTGGCGAGTTGACTGGTGCCGCGGGACCAGGACAGTAATATATTACGACACATTTTTATTTTTGTTGCTGTCACTACTCATGGGAGGCGGAACGTAACAGGGTGGCATAATGTCATTGATGTCTTTAAAGGGCGCGAACGAGTTTGACATGTACATGATGACATGGCGGGGGCACCAATCCTCTCAGCCTTGCGACATTTTTCAGGTAGAGAGAGACTCGGAAATCTATGCCGAATTCCGAGTTACTCTGGAGTGGACTGCGAACTGCAAAGAGCGATGATGCGAAGGGCTAATGAAGAGATGAATGATGGGAATGAATGAAGCAGCAGTGGCTGACAGTGTGTCAAGACAAGCGGCGACACTGGACAACGTCGGCCAAAGGAGGCTTTAATCCCATGGCCCCGGCAATCGAGCGCGGAAGCAGGCCCGTCACACATGAATCGATGGACGCACCGGACGCCGCCCACCGGTCCCGGCCCAGGGTCGGGGATAGTTGACTGATGGAGCAGTTCATGGTCGGGCGCCAGCCATCAGGGACCACGCAACCACGGTTTGGCTCAACGACTCATGGGGCTGCTTGAAACAAGGTGGGCGGTCGGGTCTAGTGGGATGCTTAAATACATGCGTACGGCGACAACTGCTCCGAGAGAAGAACCAAATCCTGCGGTTACCCTCCTACGCTTCTGCATCACCGGCGAGCATCATGGACACCAACGAGTTTAGAACGGCGGCCAAGGCGGCTATTGACGAGAGTATGTTTGCTTCTGCTCGCTCGCAGCGGCTGAGCGGCTGAGCGGCCGAGCGGTTGTTGCGGTTATTGAATTTGCTAATACCCCTCCTCTCCTCTCCTCCCCTCGCCTCCTCCCTCGACCGCCTTTCTCACCGTTGAAAAACACCATGCATTCATGCATTCATTCATTCATTCATTCATTGCCCTGCCGCCCGCCCGCATCTTGACATGACTGGCTGACAACCACAGTTGCCGACTACCATGACAATGTCTCCTCCAAGCGTGTCGTCTCCGACGTCCAGCCCGGCTATCTACGCCGCTTGCTCCCTTCGTCGGCGCCGCTAGACCCGGAGCCGTTCGACGCCATCCGCGCCGATATCCAGGACAAGATCATGCCGGGCATCACGCACTGGTCCAGTCCCGGCTTCATGGCCTTCTTCCCCTGCTCGAGCAGCTACCCGTCCGCCATTGCCGAGATGTACTCCAACGCCTTCAGCGGCGCCCACTTCAACTGGATCTGCAGCCCTGCCGTCACGGAGCTCGAGACCATTGTGCTCGACTGGATCGCCCAGGCCCTCGGCCTCCCGGAGTGCTACACATCCAGCGGGAGCACCCACGGCGGCGGCGTCCTGCATGGCTCGGCCAGCGAGGCCATCCTCACCGTCATGGTTGGCGCGCGAGACAAGTACATTGCCGCCAAGACGGCACACCTCCCCGACGGCGAAGACAAGGAGGAGGAGGTATGGCGCCTGCGGAGCAAGCTCGTCGCCCTGGGCAGCGCCGGCGCGCACTCGAGCACCAAGAAGGCCGCCCAGGTGCTCGGCGTGCGCTTCGCCACCGTCCCCATCTACGAGGAGGACGGGCTGGCCATGAAGGGCGAGTCCCTGGCCAAGACGCTCGACGAGCTCGCCGCCAAGGGCCTGGAGCCCTTCTACCTCACCACCACCATGGGCACCACCGACGTCTGCGCCGTCGACGACTTTGCCGGCATCGCGAGCGTCCTCCAGGGCCGGATCGCGGCCGGCAAGACGGAGCTGTTCGTCCACGTCGACGCCGCCTACGCCGGCTCGGCGCTCCTCCTCCCGGAGAACCAGCACATCGCCGCGCCGCTCGTGCACTTCCACTCGTTCAACTTCAACCCGCACAAGTGGATGCTCACCACGTTTGACTGCAGCGCGACGTTTGTGCGCTCCCGCGCCGACCTCATCACCGCGCTGAGCATCAAGCCGCCGTACCTCCGCAACCAGTTCTCCGACAACGAGCTCGTCACCGACTACAGGGACTGGCAGATCCCCCTGGGCCGGCGCTTCCGCTCGCTCAAGCTGTGGTTCGTCCTGCGCAGCTACGGCATAAGCGGCCTGCAGGCGCACATTCGCAACGGCGTGGCCATGGGCGAGAAGCTCGAGGAGAGGCTGCGCCGCAGAAGGGACCTGTTTACCGTCTTTACCGCCTCGAGGTTCGGCCTGGTCTCGCTGCGCGTCAGCGGGAAGGACGAGGACGAGGTGAATGCGCGCACGGAGAAGGTGTACGAGGCTGTGAATGCCGGCGGCAGCTTCTACCTGACGAGCACCGTTGTCAACGGCAAGTTTGCCATTAGGGTGTGCTTGGGGGTGCCCACCGTGCGGGAGGAGCATGTGCAGGGCGTGTTTGAGGCCTTGGTCAAGGAGGCCGAGAGGGTCTGTGGCGACTTGCCGAATTAGAACGGGATTGCTTGAAAAGGTCGGTTCCTCATGCTGCCGTGTGTCTGGCCGTGCCGTGTAGGCTGCTCTCTGGTGTCTAGGCGGTAAGGTCTGCCTTACCAGGGGCATATCAATCAGCTCGATGGTGGTTACTGCTTTGGAAGGAGGAGTCTATAGACAAGAGTATATGTATATGTATATAGAGATAAATGTATACATATATATACGACACTATGATTCAACTACAACCGTCATTGCAGCTCTCAAAACTATTCCTTACGCAACACTCCCGTCCCCCCTTCTCCTCAGTGTCTTGCCAGCCCTCACGCCGCGCAACTCGCCCTCGTCCAGCGCAATAACCCCATTGACAAGCACATACCTCACGCCCTCACTTGTCAACTTGGGCTCCTCAAACGTGGCCCTGTCCCTGACGCGCTCGGCGTCGAACAGGACCAGATCGGCCGCCGAGCCGACCCTCACGACGCCCCTCGCCGGGTACACGCCCAGCCTCTTGGCCGGCCGACTGGTCAGATGGGCCACCATTTCGGGGAGCGAGACGAGCCCCAGCTCGCGCGCGTAGTGGCCCAGGTAGCGCGTGAAGGTGCCGTACGCGCGCGGGTGCGTCGTCTTGCCGTGCAGGATGGCGTCGCTGCCCGACATGTGCACGCGGTGCTGCATGATGGCGCGGACGTTGGGCTCGTTGCCGACGTGCATCAGGCACGAGGTGGCCAGCCGATCTTTGACCAGGACCTCGAAGAATATCTCGTGCGGCCGTGTCCTCAGGCTGCTTGCTATCTCGGATACGCGGCGGCCCGAGTAGCCCGCTATCGAGGGGTGGTTTGTCGTTCCAACCTTTGCGGGCCTTGTCAGATGTGTGTCACGGCTGTGGGATGAGAACATGTCGGCAGCGAGGACAGGGTGATGGCATAAGAAGTGAAGTGGGAAATTTCAGACGACGGCAGGACGAGCGAAGCAAGGACACAAAGTCATAGGTGGAGGGAAGGACTTTAGACGACGGCAAGACGAGCGCAGCGAGGACCAAAATACAGACCTGGATCTCTTCCCAGTTTGTAGGAATCCCATGTCCCCCGTCGCACCCGGTCTCCTCAACCGCAACCCGGATCCTCTCCCTCGTCTCCGGATCCTGCAACCGCTTCAACGTCTCGGTCGGCCCCCCAGACGAGGCCCAGCTGGGAATCAGCGCCGCGAGCGTCGTACACCCCGGCAGATAGGGGTACGTGTCGAGTGTGACGTCGACGCCCCGCGCGAGCTTCTCATCAATCATGGACAGCAGCAGCGGCGCTTTCCCCCTATTCTCGGAGAAGTTGAGCGTTGCGTGGGTCAAATCTAGTCCCCAAAAAACAAAGCCATTCATTAGTCACGATCGCCCAAACGCTAGGGGTTGCCAAAGGTGATGAACAGCATGTACGCACGAACAGGGCAGCCAGTCGAGCTTCCGAGGTCCAACATCTCGGCATAGCTCTCAATCGCCTTGAAGCCATAGCTCCTATGATGGGGCGCGTAGAAAGCACCGGGGTACTCGTCTGCCAGCGCCTTGCACAGGACGCCCAGCTCCGAGGTGGACGCATACATGCCGGGCGTGTACGTCAAGCCGCTTCCAACTGCCATTAGCTTGCGTTCCACAAGACACTAGCAGAGCCAAGGGCATAGAAATAGACGAAGAGGAAGAACATACCTCGACATACCAATGGCTCCCTGGTCCATGGCCTCCCTCAACAGCTGGACCTGGTCCTGAATCTCCTCGGGCGTGGCCACGCTGTCGTCGGGACCGCACGCCAGGAGTCGCAAATTGCCCTGCGGCACCAGCATGGCCACATTCGTCGCCGTCTTATTCCTCTCCAAGCAGTCCAGGTACTCACCCACTGTGCGCCATTCAAACATGCCCACGCCCCGGTGCAGAGTTGCGCACTCCTCGTCGGTAGGGTTGCCGTTCCAGCCGGCGATTTGCTCCCGGATGGCTTGCAGCTGGCTTCTGTTGCGGACGGGGGCGTAGGATATGCCGTCCTGGCCTACGACCTCTGTCTGCTGCCGTCAGTAGCCCCAATATCACGTCGGCTCGGCAAGGCATGGTTGAGGTTGGCTTACAGTACACCCCTGTGAGATCTTGGCCTCGTGCTCCGGGCTAGTGAGCAGATACAAGTCCGAATGGGCATGCATGTCAATGAACCCCGGCGAGAGTACATACCCCTTGGCATCAATCACCCTCGCCAAA